GAGATTAAAAGTCAATGATCATCCTCTTCTGAAAGGTTTCAGCCAAGAGATCTACAGTCCTCATAATACTCTTCCCCTTGTAGGTTATGGTTTTCTTATGTCTAACTGCTTTCAGAATTTTCTCTTTCATATTAACTTTAGTGAAGTTAATTATGATGTGCCTAGGGGATGTCTTGTTTTGGGTGAGTCATGCTGGGGTTCTGAAACTATCTGCGATCTGAATTTCAAAGTCTCTTGGCATGTCTGGAAAGTTCTCTTTCATCATTTTATGAAGAAGAGCCTCTGTGTTTTGTGAAGGAACTTCATTGCCTTCAGGGATTCCTATAAGGCGAATATTGGTTTTCTTCAAATTATCTGAGAGCTTTCTGAGAGAAAGATCCGTTTTGTCCTCCATTTCTTTTGATCTTTGCACTCCTGGGCTTGTTCAAAAGCTTTGTCTTCAAAGTCAGAGATCCTTTCTTCTGCCTGTTCCACTCTGTTATGGAGGGATTCCACTATATCTTTCAGATCCTTGAGGGTTGCAACCTCTTGTCTCAGTGTTTCCAAATCTTTGATCATTTTATCTTTGAAGTTGTTGAATTCTTGAAACATCTTTTGAATAATTTCTTGAGATATCTTCTGAATAATTTCTTAAAATTCTAATTCCCTCCTTTCTTCCATTCTGTTTATCTTATTTGCTATCCAAATTCTGAACTCGATTTCTGACATCTTAGCCATCTATTTATAAATGGAGTCTTCAATTGCATCTGCCCCACTTTTCCTTGGGGGAGTTAATCTACTCTGGTTATTCAAGTTGACAGGGTTTTTCCACTGATTCCGCCCCATGCTGAGTTTACCCTGTTTGGAGACCTTATCAGAACCATTCAGTTAATGGCTTCTGGTTGTGCAGAGAGACAGGGAGTGTCTGTCATCTTCTCCCAGTTCTCAGGCGCTGGGGTGACCAGGGCCCAGCGGAACGGCAGCAGCTGTGTGGGAGCCTGCGTAGCTGGATCCAACCTCATTAGAAATGCTGGGGTACCCAGGGGAGGGGCAAGAGACCAGCAGCTGCCAGATCAGTCCTAGTTCAGCTCCACCAGAGCAACCAGGGGGTGGGGGGGCAGGGGAACTGCAGTGGTGGTGCAGGGGTGCTCGTGCAGCCAGATCAGTCCTAGTTTGGCCCCACTGGGGTTATCAGGGGGCAGATGAACAACAGTGGTTGTGCGGAGCACAAGAGTGGCCAAATCAGTCCTACTTCAGCCTGCTGGCAGATGGGGTGGGGGGCGGAGCAGGGGAATGGCGGCTGCTGGATCAATCCTTGTTCTGCCCAGCTGGTGTGGCCAGGGAGACAGGAGACCGGCAGCAGCTGATTCAGTTCTCATTCAGCCCCACCGTGGTGACTGGGGGAAGGGGAATGGCAGTGGCCAGATCAGTCCTTGATCAGCCTTGTTGGGGCAACCGGGGGTCAGGGGAATAGCAGCAGCTGTGCCGGGAATGCACACAGCCGGGTCAGTCCTAGTTCGGCCCTGCTGGGGCAACCGGGGGATAGGGGAACTGCTGCAGCTAGATCAGTCCTAGTTCAGCCCCACCAGAGCAACCAGGGGGCAGGGGAGCAGCAGCGGTGGTGCAGGGCATGCATGTGACCAGATCAGTCCTAGTTCGCCCGCTGGGGCAACTGTGGGGCAGGGGAACAGCAGCAGCTGTATCAGTCCTAGTTCACCCCTGCCAGGGCAACTGCAGGGGCAGAGGAATGGGGAACAGAGGACTCCTCTGCCGCCACCCGCTGGACACGCAGCACTAGTTAGCTGTTCTGGTCCCTCCTGGCATGGAAGCCCGGAGTGGGGAACTCCTCCGCTGCCTCCCACGGATGCACGTGGCTCTAGCAAACAGTTCTGGGCCCACCTGGAGTGGAAGCCTGGAGCTGGGATCTCCTCTGCTGCCCATGGGGTGCTTGATTCTAGCAAGCAGTTCTGGGCCTGCCCAGAGTAGGGGACTCCTCCACTGCTGCCCGCAGGGCATGCGCTGCTCTAGCAAGTAGTTCTGTGCCTGCTCAGAGCTGAGGGCTCCTCTGTGGCCACCCACTGCCCACAGGAGGTGTGTGGCTCTAGCAAGCAGTTCTGGGGCTCGCTTTGTACCTGTATTTGTGTTCTTAAATGCTCTTCCCTGGATTTAGAGCTTGCTGGGCCTGACCAGAGCGGGGACTCCTCCACAGGCCCCGCAGGGTGCTCATGGCTCTAGCAAGCAGTTTTGGGCCTGCCAGAATGGAAGACTCCTCCACAGCCACCCACAGGACATGCGTGACTCTAGCAAACAGTTCTGGGCCCACTTGGACCGGGGATTCCTCTGCTGCTGCCTGTGGGGCACATATGGCTCCAGCAAGCAGTTCTAAGTCCACCCATAATGGAGGGCTCCTCTGCAGCTGCCCACGGGACATGCACGGCTCTAGCAAGCAGATCTGGGCTTGCCTGGAGTTGGGGACACCTTCCCTGCTGCCTGCAGGGCCATTTGGCTCTAGCAAGCAGTTCTGGGCCTTCCCAGAGTGGGGGACTCCTGCACTGCCTTCATGGGGCATGTGTGGCTCTAGCAAGCAGTTATGGGCCCGCCAGGAGCAGTGGGCTCCTCCGGTGCCGACTGCAGTGCCCGTGGCTCTAGGAGCAGAGGACTCCCCTGCCACCACTGGTGGTGGGTTTTATACCTTTTGATTGTATTTTTGGGGTCACAGCTCACCTCAGCAAAGTTGTTGTGGGTTCTTCAATCTTCTCTCTTGGCTCAGCTCCAAACCATCAGCTTAGTTGCCAGATTTCTGTCCTTTAAATCTCCTGGATGGGAGCCTCTGTGGGAAGCTGGCTGCAGTCCGCCATCTTGGCTCTGCTCCTGACCTCTCTTTCCTAATCCCTCTGGCTCTGGATCAGAGTCTCAGAGTCTCACACCTGTCACAAGTTTCCTTCAGGGGCCTGGCCTTGATAGCTCACAAAACCTCATTAGTTCTGTCCAGGACTTGAGTGGGGCCAATAAAAAGTGGTTGTACTTATTTTCAGTCTGGCTTAGCGCGAGAATGATTGCCTGTGTTTGTAGCTCTGTCTTCCCTTCTTTTCCTGAGGCTTTGGTGGGCTCCAGTGCAGTCATTTCCCTGGGATTTATTGAAAGAGTAATGTGACCTATGTGCACACCTTTGTTCCCACTCAGGACCTGTGCCTACAGCTTTGTTCCCTTCCGTATGCCCTGTATCGTAGGACAAGGAGGGCAAAAGCCTTCCTGGCCTCCCTTGCCGCTATAATCTAGATTCTCCAATGAGATACACTTAGGTGATATTTGGAAGGTAGACATGGGCCGAAGTCTTCTTGAACAGTGATGGCAGTCACATGTCTGCTCCAGTAGACAGGTTGATGCAGTGGCAGGCTCTCCCTGCCCTCCATCCACCTGCCTCACAGCGTGGAGCAGCTGTGAGGTTGGCACTGTCCCCTGAAGCTTTCTCACCTGGGCTTATGGCAGCTGTGGTGCCTGGTATCCACCCTCTGACTTCTGGAGCTGCAGCCCTCCCCATAACTTCATTGCTCCTATTTTTGCTCAAAACACCAAGAGTAGTTTCTGATTTGTGAACTCAGCTCTGACTGACAGAGTGGCACTCCTCACTTCTCTGGGACTTGAGTCTGTTCTTACCTTTGCCAGGTGGGATAAAGGTGGGGAGGCAGCAATAGGCTGGGGGGCTGGGATCACTGCAGCTGGCCTGCTCCTACAATTCTTGCATAAGATATAGTGTGGCTTTTCCCAGAGTGGGGTGGCTCCCAGGTTTCTTGGGTGACTTATGGCCAGAGGAGGAAACAGACTCCTATCAACAGGGCTGACACAGAATGGCTCATCACAGTGGATACTCCAATTTAATGCTGGCCCAGCAACCTCTGCCTTTTAGGTGGCAGGGGCTCCAATGCACCTGGCTGGGATTTGGCTGGTTCTCAGGTTCACCCTAAAGTGGAAGTGAAAAAGTCCTCTGTATTTGCACAGGACTGACCTGTACTTCTGTGACAGCAGTAACGCTGCCCCACGGAGTGGGAAACTGGCACCGTGGGCCAAGACCTTAATAATCCGGCTCATTTGCTCCCCTAGTGGTTGTGATCATTGCATCAACCTCCCATATGTTGTTCATCTAAAGTGGAAATACAAGCACAGCTCTGATCGCCTTTCTTATCAGTATGAAGGGGAGGGAACCTGTGTGGGGAAGCAAGGCTGAGTCCTGGGTGGGAATAGCAGGTTTAATAGGTGGGTGCTGAACTCACTGCTTCCATATCAAAGTTTGGATTACAACATAAAGAACTCAGACACTTTTATTTTAGGTAGTAAAAGAAATAAAAATCACACTTAATATCCTAAGTCAAATAGAAGAACCATTTTGCTCACATAAATTCAAACCTTTCCCCTCTCCAGGAAGGATCTCTGGCCTGGTTCTTTTCATTGCTGAGATGGTGCCTTTTCACTCATTCAGCTGGCAGAGCAAAGCTGATCCCTTGGCAATCCAGTAGTCTTTGGATCGGTGGGAAGGTAATAGGATGGTAACCACGAAGTTGGTTGAATGGCCTAATTATGGATACGGGAGCAAAAAGAGTCATTAATGAAAGAATAACTTCTTGATACAAAGACAAGATACTGAGAGTCAAGACATATGGGCTATAGACCTGATTATCTCTAAAGATGCTGAGAAATAGTCCTTTATGGGTTTTAGTCTTATGTCTGTAAAATGAAGATTTTTAGAACAAGTGGTTCTTTCAGACTCATTCAGCTTAGGCTTTATATAACTTTGTGATCTGTAACTCTAAGTTCTCTGCAGTTGAAATCTGGGAGCACTGGACTAGGATTCAGTATTGAGCTTTGAGTGGGACTTGGGGACATGCAGTGGTAGGTTGGGCATCTATTTATTTGTCCAGTTGACTTCCCATCTATCCTTTTTATGCTGCAGTGGTAAGCACTTGGCCTCCTAAGAGGAATAAATAGAGTCACAGGTATTCTGTCCTGAGTTCTGGGACATCTGACATAAGAGATCACTTTTATAGCTTCATCATTGTGGACCTGTGTGAGAGGATCAGTACCAGAATGGGCCTGGCATCTTTTTGAGAGTCAGGCGGTTTCTAGTTTTTGATTCCACCAAAATTGGAGGATAACCTAAAGGACTTATTTATTAATAGAGATTAAAAATGATTTCTTGAACTTTTACTATGGAAAATACCCTTCCTTATGGACAGACTGGACAACCATCTTTGCAGTCAGAAAATACACAGTTGGAAACTGACAATCAGAAGCTTCAACAGAAACTTAAAAGTAATGACTGAACTGTCTGAAGAAAGTGAAATGGAAATCCACAGGCTATTAACAGTAGAGGAAAATGGTTACAGCAAGAAGAGAAACTTTCCAAAGTAGATGAAGAGATCAGCCTTGCAGCTGAGGAGTTAGGAGACCTACAAAAAGCATAAAAGATCTTGAAGAAGATAATTTTTATTGAGGGAAGATTCTTTCTTGTAAGAAAAAAGGACACAGAAATTGGTGGGTAGTTTTACTTCCATCTGTGGATAAGAGTGCTGATATGTTAGTTCAATTTAATACTGAGTACACATGGTGTTTGTTTTTCCATTCTTGTGATATTTCACTTAGGAGGATGGTCTCTAGTTCCATTCAGATTGTTGCAAAAGGCATTGATTCTTTTTTTTTTTTTTCTGTTATGGCTGAGTAGTACTCCATGGTATACATATACCATATTTTATTAATCCATTCATGAATTGATGGACACTGGGGTTGATTCTACAACTTTGTCATTGTCAATTGTGCTGCAGTAATCATTCTAGTGCAAATGTCTTTTTGACAAAATGACTTTTTTTTACCTTTGGGTAGGTATCCATTAGTGGGATTGCTGGAAACTGGTAGGTCTACTTTCAGTTCTTTGAGTAATCTCCGTACTATTTTCCATACAGGTTGTACTGGTTTGTGGTCTCATCAACAGGGTGTAAGTTTTCCTTTCTCTCTGCATTCATGCCAGCATCTGTTATTTTGGGACTTTTTGATAAAAGCCATTCTCATGAGGGTTAGGTGATATCTCATTGTGGTTTTGATTTGTATTTCTCTGATTATTCACGACACTGAACATTTTTTCATGTGTTTATTGGCCATTAGTCTATCTTCTTTTGAAAAGCTTCTGTTCAAGTCTTTTGCCCACTTTTCCAAGGAGCTGATTTTTTTCTTGCTAATTTGCTTGAGTTCTTTGTAGATTCTTGTTATTAATCCTTTATTGGAAGTATAGCTTGTGCATATTTTCTCCCATTCTGTAGGTTGTCTATTTAATCTATTGACTGTTTCCTGGGTTACAAAGGAAATTTTTAATTTAATCAAGTCCATTAATTTATTTTTGTTTTTTACTGTGATTGCCCCTGGAATTTTTGTCATAAATTCTTTACCTAAGCTGATATCTAGGAGAGTTTTTCCAACATTTTCTTCTAGGATTATTTTTTTTTCTCATTTAGAATTCTTATGGTTTCATGTCTTAGATTTATGTCTGGTATCCATCTTGCATAAATTTTTGTGAGTAGTAAGAGAAATAGATCCTGTTTCAATCTTCTACATGTGGCTCTCCAGTTTTCCCAGCACCATTTATTTTTTGTTTGTCTTTTCAAAGAGCTAATTTTGTGTTTCATTAATATTCTGTATTATTTTACTGTCTTAGATTTCATTTAGTTCTGGTCTGACCTTAGTTATTTCTTTTCTTTTGTGGGATTTGGGGTTTGGTTTGCTGATTCTTATCTAGTTCCTTAAGATAATTAATTAGATTGTTGATTTGTGATCTTTCTGTTTCTTTGATGTGTGCATTTAACACTATAAATTTTCCTCTTAGGGCTGCTTTTGCTCAATCCCACAGATTTAGATAATCTTTGTCCCTGTTGTCATTTAGTTTGAGGAATTTTTTGATTCCCACCTTAATTTCTTCCTTGACCCAATAATTACAAACCTGAGTAGGTTTATAAATGTCCATGACTTTGGGTAGAATTGATCAATTTTTTTTGAAGTTTATTTCTAATTTTATTTCCCTATGGTCTGAGATGATACAGAGAATAATCTATATTTTTGAAAATTTCTATTATTTTAATTTTATTGTCCACTAGTATCTCTTTCCTCTTCTTTTGAGACTTCAATGACATGGATATTAGATCTTTTGATATTGAAATATTGGTTTCTGAAGCTCTTTTTACTTCTTTTCTTCTTCTTTCTCTGTTTTCTTCAGATTTTATATTTTCTATTAACCTATCAATATCTTCAAGTTCACTGATTTTCCTCCATCATTTCCATTCTGTTATTGATCCCATAGTAAATTTTATGTTTTAGTTATTGCCTTCTTTTTAGTTCCAAAGTTCATATTTTACAGTTTGTATTTCTCTGCTGAGTATATCTATTATTAAATTAACTTCTTATGTGTTTATCTTTATTTCATCTAACATAGTTGTAATCAATGCTGTAAGATGTTTATCTGACAAGTCTAACATCTTGGTTGGCATTTGTTGTTTTTTACCTTGGGATTTGGTCATATTTTCCTGATGCTTGGTTATTTTTCAGTGATTTTAGATTTTATCATGAAGATTTTAAATATTACCCTGTTTCCCCAAAAATAAGACCTACCCCCAAAATAAGCCCTAGCAGGATTTCTATGCATTTGTTAAATATAAACTCTACCCCGATAATAAGACCTAGTGCATTCTGTCACGGAGAGGAAGACATCCTCTGAAAATAAGCCCTAGTGTGTCTTCTTGAGAAAAAATAAATATAAGATGTGTTTTGTTTTCGGAAATATGGTATGTTGTACAGGCTTATTTAAAATTTCAGGAGAAAGTTGATTTTTTTTGGTTTGTTTTTGTTTTAGTAGGCAATCAACCCATTTATGTTCAGACATATTTTGTTTTGCCTTCTAGTGGTTTTTCCAGTGTTAGCCCAGTTTTCTAAGTTTTTGCTGTGCTGCTTGGCCCTGCCCTGCCTCTTGCTATTCAGACATTAGTCTAAGACTCGGGTAGTGATTTAAATTATATTTCAGTTCTCAAGGTCTTTGCTAGGCTGTTTTTGGTCTGTTCCATATATTAGGGATAAGTCTGGGACTTGGGTGGTGGTTTAAGTTATAGTTTTGTTCTCAAAGTCTTAGCTATGCTGTGTTGGGTCTGTCTTGCCCAAATGCCACGCAGACAGTTGGAACTTGAGCGGTTGTTTAAATTGGAGGTCTGTCCTCAAAGGCTTTGCTATGCTGTTTGGTTTTTGAACCTGAATTGTGCAGATTTAAATATTTAAATAAAGGGACCACCTTCTACCACTTGGAGGGGCATTTCTTCTTCAGTTTATGGCCACAAATATGGGGTTTTGACACAGTTTTGGCCATCTGGTCCACTGCCTTGGTGCAGTTCTATGACTCAGCCTGTAGTGGAATAGAGTTAGGCAAGAAGAAATAGAGAAAAAGCAGGTTTCCCCTCATGCTTTGCTGATTGCAGAAGTCCTTTTCTTGTTTTGTTTTGTTTTGTTTTTTTTTTGCCAGAAAAACAGTTTATTTCATAATTTTAGTCAATAATCAGACAAATGATTTAATTAAAAATAGGCAAAAGACACGGATAGACACTTCACCAAATAAGATATAAATAAGTTCATGAAAAGATGGCTAATGTCATCAGTCATTAGGGAAATGCAAATTAAAACCACAGTGAGATACAAGTATATACTGTATATATTCTAAAATTAAAAAGACCAAATGATGGTGTGTATATGAAAGAACTGGAACTCTCTTACACTAGTGGTAGAAATTTACAAGTATATACTGTATATATTCTAAAATTAAAAAGACCAAATGATGGTGTGTATATGAAAGAACTGGAACTCTCTTACACTAGTGGTAGAAATTTACATGGTCTAGTTACTTTAGAAAATAGTTTGGCTCAGTGCCTGTGGCTCAAGTGGCTAAGGCGTCAGCCACATACACCTAAGGTGGCGGGTTCGAATCCAGCCTGGGCCTGCCAAATAACAATGACGGCTGCAACCAAAAAATAGCCAGGCATTGTCACGGGCACCTGTGGTCCCAGCTACTTGTGAGGCTGAGGCAGGAGACTCGCTTGAGCCCAGGAGTTGGAGGTTGCTGTGAGCTGTAATGCCACGGCACTCTACCCAGGGTGACAGCTTGAGGCTCTGTCTCAAAAAAACAAAACAAAACAAAACAAATCAAAACAAAAGAAAATAGTTTGACCCTGTCTCTAAAAATAGCTGGGTGTTAAAAAAAAGAAAGATAGCTGGGTGATGTGGCAGGTGCCTGTAGTCCTAGCTACTCAGGAGGCTGAGGCAAGAGAATTGCCTGACCCCAAGAGCCTGAGGTTGCTTTGAGCTGTGACGCCACCGCACTCTACCTGGGGCAACAAAGCCAGAGTCTGTCTCCAAAAAAAAAAAAAAGAAAACAGTTTGGCAGTTTCTTAAAAAGTTAAACATACACCTACCCTGTGGTCTATCTATTCTGTTCCTAGACATTTATCAGGAGAAGTAAAAGCACATGTCCACATGAAAACTTACACATACTATTATTAAAAAATACCTTTTTATACTTTTTAGATTTGCTATAGAAATGGGAGATCAAGGCATGTGATAGGAATTTATATATTAGTTGTATTCTGTATGTCACTCTCAGGAAATATGCTTTTTTTTTTTTGTGGGAGACAGGATCTTGCTCTGGGCTAGAGTGCAATGGTGTCATCATAACTCATTGCAACCTCATACTCCTGGGGGCTCAAGTGAGCTTTTTGTCTCAGCCTCTTGTAGCTGAGACTACAGGTACACATCACAATGCCTGGCTAAAGGAAACATACTTTAAATGCAGACATTATTAGAAATATATATATATATTTATTTATTTATTATCAGTATCCATATTCTCCACCCAAATAAGAGAATTTAAGCTTGTTTTACTTTTTCTTCTCTGCTCCCTCTCCCATACTTCTATCATCTGGAATATAGTTTTAATTTGTTGTTAAAATTGTTTTTTGTGATCAAACATTTAAAGACTTAGTTCTATATTGGATTATTTAAAAATAGAGGGTCAGTGATGATTGACAGACCCTTGGCAGGTCCCAAACTGTCTTTATCTGAACTTCTTTTTTAGATGATAGTTTGGTTGCATTTTGAATTCTGGTTTAAAGGTATTTTCCCTCAGCCCTTTGAAGATGTTTCTCCATTATGTTGTTTTATTCACTGTGGATAATGAGAATTGTCTGATGACAATCCAATCCTCATTTTCTGGAATTCCAGTTCTAGCAGTATTAATACATCTTCACTGTTTTCTTTGGTTGCTTTGAGAATTTTCCAGATATCTGATAGTCTTAAGTATCATTTTGGTATATCTAGGTCTCTTTGAAAATTGGATTGTTTATTTGCTGTATATTTTAACATTTCATCCCTATTGCTTTGTGAGATCTCACCATCTTAAGAACTCAAGTATTTCATTAGTTTTGGGAAATTGTAAGCCATTATTTTTCCAAATATTCCTGCTCCTTTACATTCTCTTTACATTCTCCTTCCTGGTTGCCTACTAGATAAATGTTGAAAATTCCAGCTCTTTCCAAGGTGTACCCTGCCACGCCCGGTCTCAGTGTGCTGTATTCTGAGAGACTTCCTGGGTTCATTCCTGTTGCTCTTCTTTAGGTGTCTGGCGGCTTATCCATCGAGATCACTTTCTTTCTGTCTGGTTCCTTTTTGGGGGGCTGTACCTCAGTTCAAGTCTACTCAGAGTTTTGCAGAGTTTTGAGTTTTCTATTTATTAGTTTATTTTAAAGTCTCTTTTCTGCAGTTTATCAAAATGGATTTGTTGAGAGAGCCATTTTAGTGTTTAATTAGCCCATCATTTGAAACTGGAAGTCTCTGCTCAGTAAGTTCTATTTTCTTTTCTTTAGATTCTAACAGAAGCAAGCATTATTTTATAATATTAATATACACTCAGTATTAGAACAATTTAAAGCATTTATAAATTTTTACATTATAGGTGGCCCCATTTTAAGTCCAGTTAATTGACCACAATCCCTCCTAGATTGCAATTTATATTGGTCATTATTTGTACTATATCTTGAGGACATTCTCACCTGTGGTCGAGAGTGTTCCTGCCCGGGCCCCTGTTTTATAAAGTGGGGAGTGGTACAGGGTTGGGTCTGGCTCGTAATTTTGCTGTGGCTCAAAATGCACCACAGGCAGCATTGGATTCATCTGTCCTGGCAACGCGTCTTCTATCACCATCTCCTTATCGTCCCATCGAGAAGCATCCATGAACATCCCGTGCACAAGAACACCATCCTCAGGAGAGGGCAACTGTAAGGCAACCACAAGTGTAAAGGTGGGGAGAAAAGAAGGGAGGAGCATTTGTGAGCCATTTCCTGTGTTTCACATCCTCACCAGGAAATTCTAAGAAAACACACTATAAATTGGTGGTATTACTCATGTTTTAGAGAGGGCAGTCCCGAGACTTTGAGAGGCAGAGTAACTTGGTTCTTGGTTTGACATCAAATTTCATGCTTCTTCTCCTCCCTTAAGGTGTCTAATAGGGGATATCTCTGGGAAGCCCACTTACAGGCTTCAGACTATCTGATGTAATGACTTTCCCCCTTCTCATGGGGAGCAGATAAGAGGACCGGGATTATCATCCGTTATTCTTAGCAAGACCTTCTGAGAAGACATATATCTGCAATAATATTTGCAGAGTGCTTATGGAAAGTTCTTTTTTTTATTTTATTTCGCCTCTATTATCATGCTTACTTTTTAAATGTTTTCCCCTAATAGAGAGAGAGAAAGAGAGAGAGAGATAATGCCTCTGAGTCCTGTGATGGGTATCTCCACAGGTGTACAATTTTTGCTGATTGGGGGCACATTGTCATCCTTCCTCAAACACTGAGTGAATTGGGCCAATTCTGGCTCCAGACCTTTGGATAATTGGAGCTTCATGCCTGCAGGCAGAGGACCAAGCAGTGCCAACAATGTGCAGTGCATATATTATATTGTCTAGAAGGAAGGTAAACTAAGTTCTTTTGTTGTTCTGAGCTTTCTGTTTCTTCGGTGCAGTGGGGTGGGCCATCCTGTTTTGAGGGCAGCTATGTATGCGGGTTTGCCTGAAAACCATCTTGCTACCTACTTGCCAAGTCATGTGGACATCCACCCAGAAGGAGTGCCTTTTTCTAAGCTGCACAAAGGTGGTAAACAGGCTGACAGCAGTCCTGCCAGTATGTAACAGAGATAAAGCTGTCCAAAAACATGGCTTCTCTATCTCTTACAGACATTTGCTGGGTGGACCAAGAGATGGGCCAGCTAGATGATAAGAAGTTTCCACAGATCTTGGAGATTGTAAAGTATTGCCATAGCTCAGTGTACATGACCCAAGCAGAGACATGATGTAAACTGGGGTCGGGTGGAGGTATAGATGCCCCTGTGGTCCCTGTAAACTTCTGTCTGTTATAAGATTCAGCCTCTGTGGCAGATGGAGTGTGCCAGGCACAGAGAAGGGCCTGCATCCTGTAAGGATCTGGGGACGGCTTCTCTGCAGGTGTCATTTTGCCCTTCTTCAGTCTCCTTTATTCCTGACATGGGCCTGGGACACCCTCTTGATTAAAAGGACTTCCAATAATAAGGAATACATCTCTAAATTATTTTATCTTTCTTTAAAAGGTCTTTTCATACTGAAGAGAATTTCTTCAAAGACATAATCTTTTTTACTGCCATTTTAAGACACAAGCAATTAGGAGGCATGGATATTATCATATTTCATTGAGTAAGCCACGAGAATAGAATTAATCTGGTCTTTGTATGTTTTTGCTAATCAGAGAAAAGAGTTGATCAACCAGATCAGGATGGGGTGAATATTGATAGGATTACCCAGGAGCAATTCCTCCTGAGTAATATAATGATATTTCAAGGAAAGTTTAATAAAAGCCACTCACCTCAACTACGCTGATTAATTAGTGAACATTTACTTGGCAAAAGTGATCTGGAGTAGATCTGGAGTAGATCTTTGGTTTTATAGCACATATAGAAAATTCTTTTTTTATGCTGGGGCGGACAGATGCTTTGATGCAGGGGCTGCCCAGCCTCATCCATATCTTAGCACATCTCAGCTGGGCAGCTAAGACTGATAGTGGCAGTTCTCATCCTTGGCTGTATACTGGAATCACTGGGGAACTTTAAAAAATAATGATGCTTGGGACCACCCTTAGAGATATGGATGTAATTCAGGTGTGGTTTGGGTATCAGCATTTGTAACAGCTCTCCAGCTCTCCAGTGATTCTAACCATGGTTAGGAATCACTGATGTTCTAGAGCAGTAGGTCTTAAACTATTAGTGGGCTCAAAATCCCCTGTAGGAAATGTTATAATATAGATTTCTGGGCCCCAGCCTAAAGCTTCTGATTCAGTAGGTATAAAATGGAGCCTTCAAATTTGCATTTTGATTAAGTTCCCAGGTGATGCTGATGCTATTGGTCTGGAAGACCCCACTTTGAGAACCACTGCACTAAAGGGAGTAAATTACATAGTAAACAACTTGACTGCTTCCTTAGCACATTCCTATTGGTTTTTAAAGTGTTTATAGTTATAAAATGTATGAAGTGAATATATCAATTCTGCTAAGAGGCAGCTGAATGAATGACATAAATTTAGCTTATGATAATATTTATTGTGGGTGTACTAAGTGCTGTTCACATGACATTTGCCATTCTATTCACACTGCACTACAGCTCTGAGGTTGGTGACATCGGCCCCATTTTGCAGATGAGAACACAGAGGTTCTCATGACACATTAGCAATATGTAGTGGTCCAGCACACATAGCTGGTGAGGGGAGAGTCAGAATTCAAACTCAAACTTGTCTGATTCTGAAACCCTTGTTTTCAACCTCTTGCTACCTTGCCTCTGCAGGATAGAGAAAGTTACTAGGGGTATCTTAAAGAAAATAGTATTGCTTAAAAAATATTTCTATAAGTCAGACTTGTTTTATTTTATTTTTTTATTGACAGAGTCTCACTATGTCACCCTTGGTAGAGTGCTGTGGTGTCACAGCTCACAGCAACATCAGGCTCTGGGGTTTAAGTGATTCTCTTGCCTCAGTCTCCCAAGTAGCTGTGACTACAGGTGCCCACCACAACATCTGGCTATTTTTTGTTGCAGTTATCATTGTTGTTTAGCTGGCCCAGGCCAGCTTCAACCTGTTAGCCTTGGTTTATTTGCTTGGAGCCTTAACCACTGTGCTATGGGCCCTGAGCCAAGTCAGACTAATTTAGGCAGTTCCCATCTAGTTATTGCTAATTGAGGAAGAGTTTATCCGAGGGATGTGATTACCATCCTGCCTTTCCTGCTCTTGCAAATGGTAGGTGGTAGGGAAGTGGGGCATGGGAGATTGGCTGAAATTTTCAAGGACAGTGGGAGAGAGTCTACTTTGTTGTATAGTCACATGGACGATACCTCCAGGTCCATGGGCAGTTCTTGTCCAAACTGCACTGTCTTGGCAGCTTCTATCACTGCAGCTTGATCCCGATAGGCAGGAATCATGTTGTACTTGAAATTCAGCTCATCTATGGGCAAATTATATTTCCGAGCATGATTTTGAAGAGTTCCTGTACATAAGAAAACCAGAAAACTGGGTCCTCCAAACAGCACTGCTACTCCATAAACACTGGCCTTCATCACCCCATCCGGGCTGGCCTAGTGTTAGAGAGCTTCCCCATACAGAAGACTCAGCTGTTAATACCTTGATCTGAGATACTTCACAGAGACAGGAAGCCTGTGGGTCACATGAGAGGTAAGGACCCAAGGAGTGTATAGGTTCTGGCCATGGGTAGGAAGAGAGGGAAGGAGGCTAAGTCTGAAGCACATTGCCCTGCAGTGAGGGGGCAAACCTGTGAGGAAGTTTCAGGGCCCAATCTCACAACTACAGGATCTTGTCTAACTTTAACTTGTTTTAGATGGGCTATTTATTAGAGATTAAGAATGAGACAGATTAAGGCCCAGGCTAATTAGTCTCTAGTAGCCCAAAGACCTTGGTCTGTCCCCTCTGGGCTTTCTAGCCAGCTTCTCCAAGGGCTGATACAGGAACATCAAGAGTATTTCTTAGAGGAAAGGAAGCTGATCAGACCAGAGCCTGAGCTGGGGAAGAGCATTGGTGCCCTTGAGCATGGGTCACACAGGGAACTGAGGCACACACCGTGCATTCACAGAGGCAGGAGTGCCTGCACTTAAGGAATCTGAGGAGACAGGGGTTAGGTTTCTGGGGAACATTGGCTATTTCTGTTAACCTTTTTCTCCACAAAGGCAAGGAAGAGCGAGATGTTGCCATACTGCCCTATGACCAGCTGCCCCTGTCAGGCCATTAGCCCCTGTGCCTTCTCCCTAGCTCCTAGAAGCCCTGTGTACACCAAATTGTAATCTTCCTGTGGGGATTTTCCTAAGGAAAGGACCAGTACCTGTTAGAAATCCTTGAGGAAAGAAGAAACCAGAGATCCAGTAGGATTTGGGCTGTCCTCTTTTGAGCCACAACTGAAGAAGAAACATCATATCATGATACACTTTGATATTTTGTTTTTGAGATGGACACTTTGTCTTCTAAATCAAAGTCTTACTTTGAAGGGCCTCTCAAGGGGCAGAGTCTAACTGGCCTGAGTTAGTCACCACTCCCATTTTGCTGCCCTCTGTTCCCTTCCCTAGCCACCAGCCCATGACTACAAACCCGAATCTGGTTGTTATAGGGCATAGTTAGAGGGAGATGGCAGCAAAGTCACAATGCTGTTTGGACTCATTTCATATTGGTTAGTATTGAATAATGGGGTCCCATGAACTTTAGCTGAAACCCCAAGGATGGCCTGGAATTAACATGGAATGTGGGGATAAGGGCCTAGGGCAAATGACATAATCAGTGTAGGACTCTCAATGGGATAACCTTCTGGAAGCTTCTGTTTCTCTGGGCTCAGCCTATCAATGGTTGTCAGTCAGAGCTTCCTAGAGACTTTAAGGGACTATACTGTCAGACTCATTCAAACCCCAAAGAAGCAAATTTTCTTACATCTACAAATGCAGTTCTCAGAATAAGGTCTTTGACCCATGATCCTAGTGGCTTCAGAGATGGGTAGGCTGTGTTGGACCAGAGAGACGGAACCTGGTTGTTGAGAAAACTGTTATACACTTTTTCCATTTCTTCAGACATTACCACAAGTCCAGCAATAGCTTTGTCAAGCGTTTCTAGAGAAATCTGAAAGAATAAGAAAAGGATTGTAATTATCAGGTGCTAATGACACTCATTCATGGCAGCAGGAACTATCTTGGTTGAAGGCCTGCTTGCTGGGTTTCATCTTCTCTTCACACCATCTGTTGGGTTGGACCCTCTAATATTCTATGCATTTTTATAGCACATGACCATAGGGTGTAACGTTTGGGGGATGGGGGTTCAGGCAGTTAATAGCAGAATCCAGCACAGTGGAAGGAAAGGAAGGAGAAATCTTGAAGTCTGGAGAAATGGCTGCAAGAAATGTCACTGTCCAACTCTCCTCCAAGCCAAAGGAAAAACAGACCTGATAGTGATTTGGGAATTACAGGTGTGGGAAGTTGAAGTGGGGATAAGAACCACCTCATGTCACTGGCCAACTCTGCCTAGGGCATGTCCCCAGTCCCCAGAGTTAGAGCAGAAAGGGGAGATTTTTTAGATGAGACCAATCTTTTGGCTGACGTCAGGGGATCTTCTTGCACTGGAAATCCTTCCTTAAACATAGCCCTTCTCCACTCTGCCTCTTAACACAAGACAACGGCAGGCAGTAGTCCTGGGAGATTCTGGGCTGGCAGCAGAGCACAGGGTGGTATTTGCCAACATCTAAAACACAGGGGAGCATATAGATGGGTTATTGCTCTCATGGGTTCCAGTTTTGTGAAAAATGCCATATAGTGGGAAAATATAATAGGAAGATATTGGCGGCAAGATCTATGTTGATTAAATAACCAAATGAGTCTTGGGACCACGTGCACATAGTCCTAGTGGCAGGCAATGTGTGGATGAAACAAGGCTAGTCATCTTTTCATTCTTTTATAAATCTGTTCCTTGGTACCCTCTTCCCTTGCCTCTTTTTATAAGAGGCAGTGGTGACAAAAAGAAGAGTATAAATTCAACATGTTGAAATTCTGAAGAACCTCTTGCAGCAGAGTGTATACAGGAAGGAGGCTCAGCCAGGGCCAAGAACAGACTGCATCTTAGACACCAGAAATGGAAAAAGTTAGCAGAGACTTATCTAAAATGCAGGGAGAACCATCAAATGAGAGATGGAAGGATAAGACCTTCCAGGACCTTCAAGGTCTGCTTAAAGGAGAAGGTCACAGTCCGTTTGGTTCTCCTACAGGTGTGTTAACTGGGAGAGAGTGCACTTCAAATGCTTTCCTTTTCTGGCAGCTAGAAGCCTAAACAACTGGTGGCTTTTTTACTCCCAGGGCTGCCCCGTCTCAAGTTCTGTAACTATCTGGGCAAGAGTGAGCTCCTAGGATGGCTGCTCCTGAGCCTCCTGGGTGCTGCCACCTTCCCTTGGTTTTTTTTGTTGCCACTATGGTGCTGGCTGGCTGTTCCCAAGGGGAAATGAAGGTGAGGCTGGGAACAAAGCCAGGGCAGGGCAGGACTAGGCCTTGAGGTCTAGGACTAGAGGACAAGGAGGATCCTAGTGCAGGCTCTGCATAGGTGCTGGCCCTTCCTCCGATGGGGGTCTGGGCTGTGATTCCTGATGGCCCTGCAGGCTGGATTTCCCAGGGCTCCTCTCCTTATCCTTTTTTTTTTTTTGGCCAGGGCTGGGTTTGAACCCACCACCTCCACCTCCGCCCTACTCCTTTGAGCCACAGGCGCCGCCATCCTTATCCTTTTATTAGGTGAATTCCTTTGTTAGTGGTAGAGTTTGTTTGACTAGAAGAAATGACTATGGGGAGACTTGAGACACACTTTCATTCACTGTACATTCAAACATTCATGGAAGATTTAGTATGTCAGTTACTAAGGAAAGAGGAATGACTAATATACCAGTTCCCTTCTTTTTAAGTTCTTTGTCAGAGTAGACATACTCATGGGAAGATAATTACAAAAAAATGTAGCAAGAACAGTGATGGACACAGATACCTGAAATTACAAAGCCCCAAGGAGGGGCTCCTGAGTCATCTGGTGGTGAAGGGAAGAGCTGTTGTTCCACAAAGGTGTTATGGATGGGGTGATGTTTGGACTTGCCTATCTTTAAGTAGGTGAAATGTCATGATGTAGAAAAGGCAAGAGATGAGTAGCATCCATCTCTTCTTCTTCTTCTTCAGAATAGTAGTACCCCCTCAGTGTTAGCTGGGCACATAGCACTCCAGCTGGAGGCTGCATTTCCCAGCCTCCCATGTAGCTGGCGTGTGGCCATGTGACCAGGTTTTGGCTAATGGGATATAAGAAGAAATAATATCTACTGCTTCTGGATCATGTTTTTATAAGTAAGCTGCCTTTTTGGGGGGCCTCTCTTTTCTACTTTCCATTGGCTGGCAAAAATGGATATTGGAACAGCTGCCTTGGACCTAGAGATGGAAGTTACCTGTTGAAGCTGGAGGATCCAACTTGCTCATTACCTGGATGAGCTCCCAAAGCAAGATGAACTACCTGACCTAGACAGGGCTTCCTCTGGGATGTTGGGGAGAGTAAAGGGAGTTTCCATCTTGTTTTGGACTGTATTATGGGGGTCTTTATCACAGCAGCTTACTCTGTACTCTGATTCATTGGATATAGAAGGTGATAAGCCCCAGTCTGGCTACCTGACCTTCTGACCTTGGTGCATACCTGACTAGATGCCATCGTTCCAAAATGAGGACTTCATGTACTCAGCTGACCCAGGGCCCATCTAATCAGCAAGGCTAGGTGTTGCCAGCCAAGCAGCAATGTTTGGAGACTTTGCTTTCCTAAGAGGGGACAAAATGGTCTTTGGCTTTAAAAGATGGCCCAGTTCCCCCTCAATCTTACCCTCAGGCTTTGACTCTGGACTAGGAATTTGATGCCTTGCTTAGCAGTAATACTTTTCCTATTAAATGCTCAATACTTGCTCTCTAATAGTTTTAATTTTTCTTTTATCAAAGTTTTGCACAAAGAAACTAGGAAGTCCTTAAACTATCATTATAAATCAAGGCAATACAGAGGGAAAGTATCTGTGAACCTAAGGCAAAGGATCAAAGAATTGTTTGCAAATTTTAGTTGTATTGAAATCATGGGGTGAGACCGATGTACTCCCAGGCCTCACCTTAAGAAATCTGAACTCAGTAGGTCTGGAGTGGGATCAAAGGATCCGAATTTTGAACACACACCATAGGGGATTCTAATGTAGGCATTTTGTGGCCCACACTTGTAGAAAATCTGGTTTTCATAGTTTTCTTTAACAACATTACTGAACACATACTAGACATCAGGAAAAAGCACTGATTCTGGGTTCATGAAGTGCCTTGGTCCCCGATCAATTTCTAGTGCATCAGTGATAATTCTGAGGGTATAGATTAGGATAAGGAGGAGACAGAGGACTTGTAGTGTTACGTATTCACTCTGTCATTATTAGAAAACGGGAATACAGACCCGTTAGAGGAGGATATATTGAATTCTAGACAAGCTGGGTTTGAAGAGTTGGTAGTGTATCCAAATGGAGAATTTGAAGTGATGAAAAGGGAAAATGCTAAGAACACTCATATTACTGTACAGTAAGTTCTCTATAAAGCTCTGACACCCAGTAGCAATGCTGGAAGGGAGCTCTCATACGTGGATTAACTTCAGCAGGTTGTTAAACCGGTCCACTTCCTGTCCAAGAACCGTGGTCAAGGAGTTCAAGCGTCCCTGGGGATCCTTGATGAAAAGGCTCTCAGAAGCACCCTCCATTTCCAATTTTTCTGAAACACAAAGAGCCAATTCCTCAGGTCAGTCATTACTGATTTATGGTCTCAGAACATTACTATCATAATGTGTTTATCTTCACATTTTTCTAAAGCCAGTTTCTCTCATTATTTACGCCAGATACACAGGGCTTAAATGTGACAGTATTTCTCCAATTTAGAACACTTTAGTGATTAACCTGTGTTTATATAGGAGCAATCACAGAAAATCAGGCTTAAATTTATGCACCTGAATCAGGGAATATATCTATATGTATAGCAGACCTATATATG